ACTATTTAAAGACTAAAAGTCGCGCTGATAAGCACGGTTTCGGTCTCCCAGGCGGGGGAGCAGATGAGAAATCCTCATGGATACCCTACAGCCGGCTGCAAGGTTATGTCAGACTCGTACTGACTAAAAAACACCCGTAGGGGCTGCCTCTGGCCGGGAAGGCCTCTAAGGCTTCATCGGAAGCGATCGTCCCCCAGGGGGGGAGCGACGCAGAAAACAGATTTAGACAGCTCGCTCTCGGACCTTTGATACCCTACCGCTGCCGCGACCCGTGTCGAACGCGGCAACCATTACACAAAAATAATCCTTATAGCATGATTCAGTATTCACGTGCGACGGCGCGATGGCTTATTTCATGTATAAGTTTGGTGTTTCTATACCGAGTATTATAAACGTAAGAGTAAACAAATATGATCAGAATGCTCCGAACTGCTAAGCTATCGGGAGTTACACGTGTTATTGTGAGTCAGCCATAAATGATAGACATATGCTGTTGCGGGATATTTTTTAGACAATTTTATGTAGAATATTTCCGTCATACATGATTTCTATGTAACTTTAATCATTAAGGCTGCACACGCGACGGAAGCTTAAAAAATGGAGTAACTTCTCCCGTTTTCCCAACATTTCCCTTCACTACTCTGCTCCTATTGATTGTAGCGTGATGAAAAGTATACTATAACCTGCCCAGGAGTATGAAGAATAATTGTACCAAGTTTCGTTAAAATCCGTCGAGTAGTTTTTGTTTCTATAAGGAACATACACACAGACAGACAGACAAAAAATTTACTGATTGCATTTTTGGCATCAGTATCGATCACTAATCACCCTCTGATAGTTATTTTAAAAATATATTTCATGTACAGAATTGACATCTCTACAGATTTATTATAAGTATAGATAAGCACGGTTTCTCAATATCAATTATTTTCTGTCAATAAGGTCGAACGCTCTGAACGCATCGACAGCCAAATATTGAATGAAGCTCGCTTTCTTTTTTTTTTGTTTCTTCCCAGGCGGGGGAGGGGGTGTGAAATCCTCATGGATACCCTACAGCCGGCTGTAGAGTTATGTCAGACTCTTACTGACTAAAACACACCCGTGGGGGGTGCCTATGGCCTTAGGGGCCTTACAGGCTTCATCTGATGCGATCAACCCCTGAGAAGGGGATGATGCAGCGCAGCGCTGCCTTAGTAAATACTACTGCTAGTGCGCTTAGAGGACGGATGCACCCTGATGTGCATCCGTATCGGTTTGGGACTGAGTGGCTGAAGGTCTCTCAGGATCGGGGGGCGGGGAAGCTCGCTTTCGGACCTCCCGCCTTTTTATACCTTACCGCGCCGCGCCGCCACGACCCGTGTCGAGCGCGGCAGCCGTTACACAAAAATAATCCTTAAAGCATGATTCAGTATTCACGTGCGACGGCGCGATGGCTTATTTCATGTATAAGTTTGGTGTTTCTATACCGATTTCTATGATTCTTTTTTTATTGAATAGGTAATAATGTTAACTTTTTTAAATTAGGGATGAGTGAGAGTATTATAAACGTAAGAGTAAACAAATATAATCAGAATGCTCCGAACTGCTAAGCTATCAGGAGTTACACGTGTTATTGTGAGTCAACCATAAAAGATAGATATATGCTGTTGCGGGATATTTTTTAGACAATTTTATGTAGAATATTTCCGTCATACATGATTTCTATGTAACTTTAACCATTAAGGCTCCACACGCGACGGAAGCTTAAAAAATGGAGTAACTTCTCCCGTTTTCCCAACATTTCCCTTCACTACTCTGCTCCTATTGATTGTAGCGTGATGAAAAGTATACTATAACCTGCCCAGGAGTATGAAGAATAATTGTACCAAGTTTCGTTAAAATCCGTCGAGTAGTTTTTGTTTCTATAAGGAACAAACACACAGACAGACAGACAGACAGACAAAAATTTTACTGATTGCATTTTTGGCATCAGTATCGATCACTTATCACCCCCTGATAGTTATTTTGAAAATATATTTCATGTACAGAATTGACCTCTCTACAGATTTATTATAAGTATAGATTACAATATAAAACTTTAAAATACAAATAAATAAATATGGTTATTATTTAATTTTTTTTTGTAGAAAATCACTTTGGCAGGAACATTTTTAAATCTTATATAAAAAACACAGACTTAGTCTGCAAATAACAACTTGTAGTAATTAAATTATTCAATTTCACTTCTTAATTAGTTACTTTAATAAACTTTTGGCAAACCAAAATACTTTGGATTCTAAAATTTTTAAGGCACTTAGATTATAGAAAGATGTATAGTAACAACTTACCCCAAACAATTGTAACTACTTGCCCCATGGCACGTTTTTTAATATAAATTGAAGTCATTATTAATGGATATCGATAGTAGAATAAAACAATATTGTAAATTAAAGGTAGATATATTATGAACGTTCAAGGTTAAAAATTTTGCTAAATTAAAAAAATATAGTCATCAGGCATCAAAAATTTCGTAAAGGATTTTTTTACTTACTATGTTGAAATCGGGACACACGCACACAACCTAGCAGCTCAGCGCTTGGCGGGTCACTGATTGTTTTTATCTAATGCACGATGTTATAAGAAAACAAATGAGTCCAATTATGTCCATCAAAGAGTTTAAAATCCCGGTAAAAAACGCGTGTAACTTCTTACCCCTGTAACAACGTGCCCCCCGCTCCCCTACACGTAGATATACCTACATATAGAGTACTGGCATATTGAGAGGTAGGGCATAGCGGATTTTCCGCTCGCATTGGGAAAGTAACCCCCTCCTTATTGAAGACCACAGTAAAATAACACTGCCTTTTGGTGCTGTTGTGTTTCTGTCGGTGAGTAAGGTTCCAATGTCCTAAGGGGTGTAGGAGATTGGGTCAGGGAAGGCAAGGACACGAGTGATTTTTTATTCGTACTTTATTTTACTTATGGTACTTATTATGTATTCTATCCGTTACCCTAGCATCCCATAACATAAGCCTTACAGTGCTTACTTTGGGGCTAGGCTAATTGGTGTGAGTGTCGGAAATATTTATTTATTTATGTTTGATGAGCACAAACATTTCTTCTAGAGTTTTTTCTCGTATTGACTGTTCATTATTTCTGACGCTGTCACTTAAGTCCCTGGAGGTATGAGACGACGGTTTTTTGTTATATTTACAACCAAGATAAAGTTCCAGTTTAGTTTGTTTGTCCACCACTTGTTTTGGAAGAAATACTAGATTCCCTTGAGCCTGGAAGTAAAACTTGGGTCGCCATTTCTAAGGTCGAATTTCCCACTTTAGACATTCTTCTATTCGATTGAAAGCTAACTCAAACTTAAGTTAATACTAATTTTATCTACTACAATGCAATCAAGTTTTTCACTCAACCTAGTGTATTTCATCATCATCATCAGCCTATTAATGTCCCCACAGGCCTTCCCTATGGATGGAATAGGGAGATTGGGCCATGACCCACCACGCAGGCCCAGTGCGGATTGGCGGGTGATAACAACTGCAGATGCAGCCGGGACCAACGGCCTAACGTGCCTTTCGAAGCACGGAGGAACTCGAGATAGATGTTTTTGGTCACCCATCCAATGACCGACCACTGCGGAAGTTGCTTAACTTCAACCATCGCAGCCGAACGCGCTAACCACCTGCGCCATCGAGCTCCTCGTCGTAGTGTATTTGTCGCAGGCAATTTGTATGATTCCGCATTTTACAAACATATCGGTTTAAAAACGCTTCCCCCATATGTTATACTGCCACGCACGATTAAAACCAAAAATCCCTGCTTGGGCTCCCTTACTATTGATTTGTACAGCTACAGTGCTATTTTGCGGTTTTGTAGGACAAAGCTTTTGTAATTATTACATTGTAGTTATCACACTAATATTATAGGCGAAAGGATATTGCTCAGCTTCCATACATGTTTGGCCTAAAGACCAATAATCATGAAAAATTGTTTCCTAGATTCGAAATTATATATAAATTACTGTAGAAACGAATATTATTGACGGACACCCCTGAGAACTTCTATAAACCATATAACCTACATTGAACGATTTTGAGGTTATATTTGCAAATTGGTACATAGGTATTAAAATAATAAAAAACAAATAAGTTATATAGTAAACTAGGGAAATCAAGCCAAGTACCGAACTTATGTATTAGATTCAGGTATATAGAGCATATTCAGGTATATAGATTAACAGATAGTTGCCTGTTTTTAAAGTTAATGCACAAGAGTAACTTTTAAAATCCGGTTATAATAAGGAAGGTACTCTGTGACAGAAACTGTGTGATGATTGTGAATAAGTCTCAGATTAGAGAGCCACAGATTTTTAAACTCCCGTTAACCATAGAAAGCTAAGAGATTTAGATTATACAGCTATATCTTCAGTAGTTTCATTATTTTTGTTATGTTTACATTATAACCATACTTTAGATTTTAAGTGTATCACACCTTATAATGTGTTTATGGAGGTGTTTGGCGAAAAATGTATGGCAATAGACTTTATGATGTCGATTTGCATGTAGTGAAAATGATAATATAGTTGTGGATATTAATACCATAGTGTAATTAAATTATTATTAATATAAAAAATGATTTATTTTATCGATCTTTACAAAATAGATTTGATTTTATGTTATTTAAACAACTTCGATCAGTCTTTGGCTGAATGTTTCTACACCCATAGCCATTAAAAATGATTCGTATGTTATTCAAACCAGTAAAATTAAAATTCCTTATTAAAATGAATATATTATACACAGGTGTCCGTTAAAATCTAATGACTGTAAAATAAAGTATAAATTACGCCAAGAATTTATATGTCAATATTTTTTGTGCATTTGGGCCAGTTTGAGCAATCTCCTTTGTGAGTGTGTGAGTGTATGTTTGTTACTTCTTCAAGTCTAAACGGCTGGAGCGATTTAAAAAAAAATTGGTAAGGAGTTAGCTGACACTCTGGTTTAACACACAGGCTACGTTTTTCTGCGGGAAAATATCTGTAATAAATCGCGGGTAACACCGCGGGGTACAGCTAGTAGTCAAATAAAAGGCAATATTTTGGTTTCCTACAACTATATTTAATACAAATCTTACAAAACTACATAAGCTGCCATGTTGGCGACACCACATCTGTTGTAACCGCGTCTGATCCTGTAAATAAAAAAAAAATCTTTAAACAGTCCTGACCCTGTGCTTCCATTATATATTGTGTTGCGTTCCATTTCATCATAGATTATTATTGCCCATTATATATTATCCACAGTTGTACACTTATAAATAAACTAGCGGCCCGCCCTCGCTTCGGTGTAGAGCTGAAGTGTAGACTACAGTTTCTGTTCTCAGGCTTCTATTATACACAATGACATTCATCTATGATTCTTCATATACCTGCATGCAAAGCCTCAGCCCGATCGGTTTAAAATTGACAAAGTTTCATGCAAACTTTCATTCCCTATGTTATCCCCTTGGTGGTAGAATTAATCAAAATCCTTTCTTAGCGGATGCCTACGTCATAACATCTACCTGCATGCCAAATTTCAGCGCGATCCGTCCAGTGGTTTGGGCTGTGCGTTGATAGATCACTACGTCAGTCAGTCACCTTTGAGTTTTATATATATAGAAGATTTTATTTTTGCGCGTATTGGTACCTTTACTTAATATTAGTAGGTATCTGCGGAAGTCCAGCGTCGAAGCATCGTTACATGCTCCGACATTATGCTGAGTAGATACCTTTTCAGCACCATGTATATTACTTGTGTATGTATTATGTATGTTATCAAAATGGTCTTAGTACTGAATAAATATTTTTTCTTTCTTTCTTTCAGACACGTTTCTTACTTATAGATAGCGGCAAAGAACAGATAAAGTTGTGCAATAGACGTTTTTGTATATTTTGCTACTGCGCAAACATCCTAGTTTACGGTCGTTGGTAAAGTAGTTTATCGGGGTGTGTACCTATATTTATTTATTTAAACTTTATTGCAATATAACACAGCAAATGGCGGATATAATGCCATAAGGCATGACGGGGGCGCAATAAAGACAAATGTAAGATAAACCCATTGGTTTATCTTACATTATATCATTATACAAATACTCTTAACAGAATACACACATACATACACATACATATATATATGTATATAGATACACACATATACATACATACGTATACGATTATGTCAGCTATACATACCTATATGAGAACGCTGTTTAATGCTATTGAGATAGTGCTCACGAACCAATCCCCTAAATGCATGCATATATGACGATATATCATCATCATTTCCATCAGCCTATTGATGTACCCACTCCTGGGACTTAAATCTTCTCTATGAATGGTATGACCCATCATGCTGGCCCCAGTGCGGATGGGTGGGTGCTAATAACTAGTGTTTTTCTCACCTCATATAACCGTCTTCACCCCATTTCTTGCCCCACCAGTTGAGCAGGATCCAGTAGTCAGGAGTATACCCCACCAGCAGCATGGCATGGTTCAAGGCCCATGGAACGCAGAATGGGTCGTCGTACACACCACTCCTGGAAGTATTCATAAAAGTTTAATGGTCTTACTCAGAGAATCGTCATTATTCGGTCTATTATTATTAATGTCCCACTGGCCATTGGGAAATTTGAAAAGTGACTTCATAAGTTATATTGAAGTCATTTTTCAATTTTAACGACTCTGATTTCAGACTGACTGACATGCTGAGTTTATTGTCGGTTCGTTTCAGTACAAGGTCTCCCGCCGTAGATTTGTGAACCGATGGCGTAGGTTTTTGACATTCACAAGTGTTTGTAACAGCCAAGACTGAATAAAAGATATGTTTTTTTGAAGTGAAAACTTCTTTAGCGGCGTTGTACACTTTTTTAAACTGTTAAACTCGCGTCATGACGTGTGGGCTGATCGCATCACAGGTCACGTGTCCTGATCGTAAGACGAAAACAATAAAATTGGAAAGGTTGTTGACTTTCAATATAATGGACGAAACATAGTAATATTTTATTTTATCGTATTATAATAATAAGTCTCTATCTAGGACGTCCAGGTGGCAGCTTTATTGCGAAAAAAATGCATTTTTTTTACAATAGATGTCGCTAGGTTAAATGCTAGGCGCGTAAATGAGCCAGAGCGCCCTCATAAGGGCCGAGGAGGGTACCGGTGGTTTTTAGTGGGTAGGACCGGCGTTGTTCCACGCCGGGGAGTCCCACACACGTCGCGCGCCTGGCAAGCGCGCGGTATGGTGCGTAAATGCATTTTCCACCGTCAACAAAAAAAAAAAAAAAAAAAAAAAAAAAAAAGGCGCGTAAATGAGAAATTCTGAGAGATAAACTTTTTAATGTAATATAAATTGTCATGTTTATGTACAATAGCGCAATAAATAAATATTGTATTCTACCACATAATTGATAGTACTTTTATACTGATAATTAAAGAAATTCGTGCAAAATTATTTCCTAACCATTCCAAAATAGCAAAATTGCACAACGTTAATATTCAAGTTTTCACTTCTGTCGGCACTCCCAGAGTGCAACCTGTGGTTTTATTTTATTTTGGATGGCTGAACAAAAATTTACTATCTCCAGCTGCTCCGTGTTTCGACAGGCACGTTAGCCGTTAGACCCGGCCGCATCTACAGTCAATATTATAAACTGCCACATCAACCAACCTTGCCATGCCGGCCTGCAGAAATGCTTCTTCACGCCTTTCTGAAAGGATTCCCCAGATTGCAGGACGCAGAGGAAAATAATTCCACTTGCAAATAGTACGACAAAGAAATGTTCGTGTAGGAATAGTGGTCACCAATCTGCATGTCATCAGGTGAGTCATGATACAAACTCATTTTTGTTATTATTTTTTATAGCCAGATAGTCAAATGACTACCCCAGCCCATGAAAGTCCAAATGCCAAGATAGCTGGTACAGCAGTTATAAACTGCTACACCAACCATCCTCACCTTGCCGGCCTGCAAAAATACTTCTTCACGCCTCTCTTAAAGGACCCCAGATTGTAGGAAGGAGGGAACATGTGCGCGTACAAAGTATCCCTTCTAGAGGGAAGACCTGTGCTCCAGTAGTGGGGACATTAATATGCTGATGTTAATAGACCTATAAAGTTGAAATGTGAAGAGCGAAGTGTTGTCGCCCACGGCCAGAGGTTCTATGGTAGCGAGTGCTAATCTAGACCTGTGGAAGTGCATAAGACCTGTGCCCCAGCAATGGGGACATTAACAGGCTGATGATGATGATACATTCTTTTTGCCGTTACACTCTTGGCAGAGCGGTCGTGGCGGTTACTTCTTTGTCAACGGCGGATTCACAAGCGGTAACATGCCGCACAAAGAGACCCTACCTCCCTCACGGCTGTTTTTCTTGTGCAATCTTGTTGGTGATCTACACACTACCGGATTTAGGGGAGGGCAACCGGGGCGAAAGCTCCGGGGCCTCCACCCACAAACGGGGGGCCCCCACAATAGAGACTTCGGAAAAAAAAAACAAATTCCGACTAGTAAACACTAGTAAACATCTTTTCCTTTGATATTTTTTTTGCTCTTTTACCTTTACCTACAGTACTTTGTACATCTAACATACATGATTATTTGATTATATTAATCTTAAATAACAGAAATCATTGATCTATATTTGTTCACTCCAATCAGGCACTCAGTGAAATCTCAAATGCCTGATAAGCACTTTCAAAAAAATTTTTTACTTTATTTGGAAAATAATTTGGGGTGAGGGGGCCTCCGCTCCTCTGTTGCCTTGTTGCTCTGGACCTCTAAATCCGGCCCTGGATCTACAGCTCATAATAATGATAAATAATCGTACCTATAAAGTTGGAATGTGAAAGGCGAAGCGTTCACCCCCACGGCCAGTGGTCCTATGGTGGCGAGAGCTTTCTCCATGGCGTCTTCATCACCGAACGGGAGCATCGCCCAGTTTTTCGGCTTCGTGCGCGCGAGGAGGGCGCTCGATTTGCAGTGACCTTTCTGATTGGTTGAAATACAAAATTATGTATCTTGCGTAGGTACTTACTATTTTTTTATGAAACTTATAATTTTATTCAAGAAACTTTAAATATGGAACTTATAATATATATAATATTTTATTTAGAATTGTTAACGGTGATTTATTAGAAGGGTGTTTTGGAAAAACAACAAATGTCATGTTCTACATTAAAAGTAGCCATAGTTTTTTTTAACTTCATTGTTTTATTGTGTACTTTCTACTACTATTGAATCTGTACGTAAAAGGTATCTTGAGACTTTTTAGTTGGTTTGCTTTTGGAATTAAAAATTATAAATTGGTAAAAATTAAAAATTATAAAATAACCGGGATATGGGCTATTGTTCATTGTTTACCGATGAGTCACCGATGGCACTTATCGTAAAGCGAAATCTTAACACATTCGCCAGTTAACCCCCACGTCAAGCGTGCCAAAAGAAATTTAATCTCAAAAATCAGTGCATCTATACCGTTGAAACTTGTTTTATTTAATGAGTGGTGTGCGTGAAAACCTGATAAACATTTAATTACCTAAAGAAAATATAACTAGAAAAAAATCCACGCGGACCAGGCAGCAGACGAAAGTATTCATTTGACATTGTGTGTTACCTATAATGCGAAGAGATGGCGCTGCCTTGCAGCTTAAGAATGGCTAGAAGAATTTCGACGCGGTCCGTGAGGGCCGCGGTAGCATAATTGGTCAGTGCATACGCCCGGATTGCGAAGGGTGCGGGTTCGAGTCCTGTCTGCTGCGTGGATTTTTTTCTAGTTATATTTTCTTTAGATTCAAAGATCAAGCAGTTACATGCTTTAAAATAATAAAAATTATAATTTAATTACCTTCCCAGTGTAAGGGTAATATTGCTCGGAGACCAGACCTGAGCGCGCGGCGTACCTGAACGCTCCCCTGAGCGAGCCACCATCGCAACCTTCGTTGCCGTCCGCAGCGCTGCAGTCCACGATTTGCTGAGGACTGGAGTGGAAAAAGAAATACAGGGTAACAGGTTATTTACGACTACTGGCCCGCCCTCGCTTCGCTTCGGGGTAGAATTGATCAAAATCCTATCTTAGCGGGTGCCTACGTCATAACATCTAGCGGCCCGCCCTCGCTTTGCTTCGGTGTAGAGCTGAAGTGTAGACTACAGTTTTTGTTCTCAGGCTTGTATTATACACAATGACATTCATCTATGATTCTTCTTATACCTGCATGCAAAGTCTCAGTCCGATCGGTTAAAAATTGACAAAGTTTTATACAAACTTTCATTCCCTATTTTATCCCATTCGGGGTAGAATTGATCAAAATCCTTTCTTAGCGGATGCCTTCGTCATAACATCTACCTGCATGCCAAATTTCAGCGCGATCCGTCCAGTGGTTTGGGCTGTGCGTTGATAGATCACTATGTCAGTCACCTTTGAGTTTTATATATATAGATAGGTACACATGCAGAAGTCGGTTCTACACACGACGTGCTATACCAGGTACAGATACGTACCCGGGCGTTTTTCCCTTGCCTCACGACAACGGCTAACTAGAGCCGAGGTCTGAGTATCAGAGACGCCCTCTATTTGAGCCGATCTCCTCAGGTTCCACTGGCCTAGAGGCTCCAGACGGAGAGGAGACTCCCCCCGTGGGAGATGCCATCTGACTGGAATACCTCTAGAGTCTAGAGGCACTTCCCAATTCTCGGCTTGAGGTCCCCTTAGGATCTCGCTATCCCCAAACCCGGTGACGCTGTACAAGGTCATCTGTGACCAATAGCTCACACAATGGATGTATGGCCAAATTTATGAAACTTATTGAAAAAGCAACCACGATACATGTGGAACTTTTTAAATAATTAATAGTAAAAAATGTCATTGCGAGACTGACATTGGAACCCGGGCTGCCTATCACTTTCGAGCGAGCGGGCGAGCATTCTACCACTTAACCACAGATGCTTGTTGATAAAGTTTTATTTTTAACTAGTGGCCCGCCCTCGCTTCGCTTCGGTGTAGAGCTGTAGTGTAGACTACAGTTTTTGTTCTCAGGCGTGTGTTGAACACATTGAATTTATTTATTTAATTCTTTTTCTATGATTCTTTTTTTATTGAATAGGTAATAATGTTAACTTTTTTAAATAAGAGATGAGTGAGAGTATTATAAACGTAAGAGTAAACAAATATAATCAGAATGCTCCGAACTGCTAAGCTATCAGGAGTTACACGTATTATTGTGAGTAAACCATAAAAGATAGACATATGCTGTTGCAGGATATTTTTTAGACAATTTTATGTAGAATATTTCCGTGATACATGATTTCTATGTAACTTTAACCATTAAGGCTGCGCACGCGACGGAAGCTTAAAAAATGGAGTAACTTCTCCCGTTTTCCCAACATCTCCTATTGATTGTAGCGTGATGAAAAGTATACTATAACCTGCCCAGGAGTATGAGAATAATTGTACCAAGTTTCGTTAAAATCCGTCGAGTAGTTTTTGTTTCTATAAGGAACATACACACAGACAGACAGACAGACAGACAGACAAAAATTTTACTGATTGCATTTTTGGCATCAGTATCGATCACTAATCACCCCCTGATAGTTTTTTTGAAAATATATTTCATGTACAGAATTGACCTCTCTACAGATTTATTATAAGTATAGATAACAACTAAAAAGGTAAAACAACATACGAAATATTAACGATGTAATTTGTAGCGATATAATTAAAGTTTTACATAAATCCAAGAGAAGCAGGTAAAATATGTAAAAAAACGGAGGAAAAAAACGATAATGAGATATAATGAGTAAAAAAACGGAGGAGCTGCGATGATGGAAGTTAAGGAACTCTCGCAATCCCCAGTCAAAGGATGGATGAACAAAATTTCCTTTCTGCTTAGTAAAAAAAAGAGTTCCTCTGTATTTCGTAGGCACGTTTACGATTTCAGAACAGATGCAGCCTGGCAGATTAGTTGGAGATGCAGCACTGACACACGCAGCGACGCCTAGATCAGGGGATCACTTTGAGAAACCCTGTATTATTAAGAGAGCAGTTCCGAAAAGTTACACCCACTCTACGGATTCGAAACTTAATTTTTGAAACTTTTTGGAATTTTGGTGGTAAAGAAAAAATGTAAAATCTATGATTAAAAACAGAGATTAAAGAACTTCTTGATTTTCTTCTTAATAGGTATAAATGCGGTTTATAAACCCATTCTTCTGAATCTTTACAGGCTCCAAGAATAATAAAAAAAAATATTCATTATGCTTATAAGATCACTGACTATGTTAAAATAAGAGAAACTAGTTTGACTTAGGCTGAACTAGTCGAGCCAAACATGAATAAGGACATTATACACGATTTAAACATCTAGCAGTTAAATGCTTACAATTTTTAAGCATTTTTCTGCTAGAACCTCAATGTGTCCTTATTCATGTTATATTTTTATTTATAAATTGGTTTGGCCCAGTCTATACTAATTTTGCCTAGTCACAAATAATAAAGCGAGAAGTTTTTTCGTTATAACCGTTTCTGCAACTGCACCTTACAAAACCTTGCTATGATCCAACTAAAGTTTTGTGCCTGCAGTCCTCAGAGAAAATTAATTATCTTTATTAAATACCGCGTCTAGAATTGTTTGTAAAGCAGGCGAAGCTTCAAGAAAAAAAATGTTCTCTGCAATTCCAAAATAAATTCCATCAGAGCACACCATGCAAAAATATGTGAAATTGATTTTGATTTTGTTAATAAATACATCACGATTTTATTAGAACTGGTGTTTTATAATTGCCTTTATAGACTAGGTCAAACTAGTTTTTCCTCATTATGTTCGTGCTATTCGTTTTAGACTCAACTAGTTCAGCCTAGGATAATCTAATTTCTCCTATCGACCATAGGACGGATCAGTTAGCCTAGTCTGTAACGGTTTATCCTATCCCCTCAGAATATGAATCGATTTTGCCTAGATAAAACTAGTTTGACCTAACATCGGGTTTGGCCGGTAACTCTCACCTGAGTTCTCCCCAAAGGCCGTGCTTCTTATACAACTGCGCTTGCACAGCGTGCGCCACAGCGAACGCGTAACATGCGCCGCACTGCCACTGCTCCTCCAGCTTCGGTTTGAAGCCTTTCGCTCTCCAATCCACCTACAATAAATAGTAAAATAAATAGTGAGCACGGAACACACATCTGAACGTCACTCATATATATATATATATATATGAGTGACGCATGAGTGAGTGAATTGGAGCACCGCATGCATCACTCATATAAGCATGCGCTGCTCTATATACTGCTGCTATATATATATATATATATATATATGAAGTGACGCTCGTGACGCATTCACGTTTCATATTTTCCATGTCCGAAAAGAAGTTTCAAATAAATATTATTATTCCTGGTCAATGACGTATTATATATACACAGCTTATTAATGTCCCCATCGCTGGGGCACAAGTCTTCCCTATGGATGGAATAGGGAGATTGGGCGGTTACCCACCACGCGGGCCCAGTACGGATTGGCGAGTGGTAACCACTGCAAATGCAGCCGGGACCAACGGCTTAACGTGCTTTCCGAAGCACGGAGGAACTCGAGATAGAGGGTTTTTGGTCATCCATCCAATGACCGATCACTACGAAAGTTCTTATTCAACGATCGCAACTGTACGCGCTTACCACTTGCGCCATCGAGTTCCTCATAGACAGGTTTATTGCGTTTCCAAATGGGACAAGTAGGCCCCGCAGCCATTCATAAAGCAGATTACATTTCGCTCTTTATCTTCTATGTGTCAAAGGACTATGTAAATAAGTAATCACTAAATATTTTTAACTTAATTTCTTTAAAACTGTACTTACGAATGAAATGATATGTTTTATTTGTCTCGAATAGTTCCCGTGTATTTGTTGGCATTTCTGCAACTGTGTATTTTTCTTTTCTGTGTATTTTTTGGCATTTCTGCAAAAAATCTTTTTAGCTCCCCGCTGGCTACGAGCTTACTACGACCATGCTAGGTCGTTTTATTAATTTTACTAATTAGTAACTCAAAACAAAATATAGGTCAGGATAGGATGCCTTTGTATGAGTTCTGCCGCTCGCTGCCTGCCGCCTTGGCCCTCTTGGCTCTAAGGTTTATACTGCCCTGGGAACCAGGCTTAATGCCCAGCCTAGAAACCTCCCTGCCCACCCTTAAATTAAGTGTTGAAAATATGATTTTAAAGTTTTGCAGAATGACTGTTAATTCAAGTGGATCGGTACCCCTCTAGGCAAAATCATCTTTTTTTTGTGTAGGAAATGTTCTCTTAAATGATGCGTTCCTTCAGCCACCGGTGGAGCAAGAAGAAGTTATATGGTGGATTGCTAACTGGCTACTTCGCTCAGCGTACAACGCTTGGCGAAGCAGCGAAGTGGTCTACCCAGTAAAAACCAGACAAGGTCGGTGGAACACCGTGCGAAGAGACTCATAGCCAATGACGCTCTCGTTGAGGCTAATCTCCAGAGCCTTGACCACCGAAGACGTGTAGCTGGCCTCTCGGTGTTTTATCGGTTACATTTCGGAGAGTGTGCGGAGGTATTACATAATTTGATCCCTCCTTCCCCTTTCCATCACCGGACGACCAGGCGCGGCGAGGGCTTCCACCCTTATGTTGTCGAAGTTCCTCCCATTCGCACGAAGCGATTTGCTTCGACCTTCATTATACGAACAGCTAGGGAGTGGAACTCCTTGCCGAGGTCTGTTTTCCCGGACCAATATAATCTGGACATCTTCAAGGCCAGAGTGAACAGGCATCTTCTAGGCAGGCGTGTACCATCCTAGACCTCATCATCGCTTTCCATCAGGTGAGATTGTGGTCAAACGCATTGCCTATTTTACATAAAAAAAAAATGGGTGCGTGTACTTATGTAGGCGCGTGAGAAGTTATCCTTCTTTGGCATCGTTTAAAATTAGTTTTTAATTGCATGCAAATAATTAATTACAATAAATTAATAAAAAGTCTGGAAAAGGACACAGTCAATAAAGTTCAGTTTTAATTTGAAAAAATAAATAAATAATCAAAATATTCAATTAAAATCGCTACTGAATATAATTTATTAGAACATATGTGATTTGCACTTGTATGAAACTCAAACACGTATTCCGAATATACAAACTAGAAACATGTGGATAAATATTATAAATATGAATACCTATAACTGTTACTTTATTACAAAAAATAAAGATGTGGTTTTTGGTTCTACTACACCAATGGTCAAGAGATGGCGCTGTAGTCTCCTGAATCGCGCTTTGGTTCCGTTGTTCCAGATTAATAAATACTTTAGATAGGCCTTCACAATGCAGTCGTTAGCACCCACTAAATAGAGATTCTATTTTGTTGGTAGATTTTCTTAATGTGCGGTAAACACAAATAATTATTTGTGTTTACCGCACACAGTAATCACAGCACATAAATAGGTAATTTTTTGTGTTACAGTGATGCGCGCGCATCTTAAAATTTCACTCTCATCATTTTTTCATAACGCGCCTAAAGAAATATAACTTCAAAAAGAAAAAAGCTATGCCAATGCAACTTATTCTGGTTTTCCTGATGAAAAGTTCCAAGTATACCTATAATATTCGGGTACTTACTCGATCTGGGATAGCTTTGTTAGCCGAGTGCCGGTAGTGGGAACGGTGGATGTCCAACGCCGGATCCAGCAGTGGGATCGTGTCGAAGAGTTTCAGGATCTTCTTGAAGTATTCCTCAGGGTGCTGCAAATGGGGGTATCAGATTTTTAAGCCTTTTAATTATACTTCTACATGTGCATTATTACGTAGATATGAAAAGAGCAATTAATGCAATTTCCATATGTAAATAAATTTTAAGATTGGTTTGCCACAGCGGATTTGCTGCTTGAATTGGAACGCCCGTCTAAGGTCACTTTAAAAAAGCCAGCATCAGAAAAAATAAAACAAACAAGTTTTTTGGGCTGTACGGCAAAGACTAGGGTTGTACGGGATCGAGGATGTGGTCAAGGAAGCCAACGCGAGAGATATACCCTCTGGTATTTCAAGCGTTTATAAGCTTTGGTGACAGCTGACCATCAGGTGGGCTGTATACTTCCAAACTTTCATTTTCATGCTAAAAGGGTGATAAACAAGCATATGGTCCTCCTGATAATAAGCGACCACCATAACCCATAGATGCTTGCGATACTATTTTTTTTATAGCCAGGTAGGCAAATGCCTCTACCCCACCTGATTTTAAGTGGTGCTAAAGTCCAAACGCGGAGATAGCTGGTACAACAGTTATAAACTGCTACACCAACCATCCTTGCCGGCCTGCAAAAATGCTTCTTCACGCCTCTCTTAAAGGACCTCAGATTGTAGGAAGGAGGGAACACGTGCGCGGGCAAAGAATTCCACTTACGACAAAGAAATCTATTACTCGCGCCGTTACCTTCCCTGATCCCATTGTAAATGTTGCTACTTTTTTTAAATGCTGATGAGTTTCTTTCGCCCATTCTTCTCATCAACTGAAAGATGTCCTGAATGGTGTGGTAACCGCTTATCATCAAGCGAGTATACATCTAAGCCACAAATTTTACACACAAAAATACTTACCCAATCAGCGAATTGGTTCAGATGAAGAGTGTAAGAGATCTCCCCAGCGAGAAAGCGCCTATTGTGCTCCGCGATGAGCTTGAGGTTACGCCGCCACTGCGACAGTGCTGCCATCTCGTCTCGGTGACTGTCGTACGCTTTGTCGAAAATTGTCTGGAGGGACGAAGATTGTTCCTTCTTTATCTTATTAAAATTTCTTAACTTCCCAAGGGACTTCAGACAAGCAGTAGAGTTTGTATTTGTTAGAATGATAACGCTTACTTTGAAGCTTAACTGGATTATGTAAGGAATTAACAAGCTTGCGACCCTTAAGCCGTTTTCGTAACTATTTTACATTACTCCCACGGAAACGGAAGTTTCTTTTTCTCGTTTAATAACTTTTAACGATATCAAATAAAGATATGTTTTCCGCATTTGTAATTTTTTCGTAACCGACAACGAAAGAGGAATATTTTGTCCATATTTCTTAACTAGTTGTTAATGAAGAGAATATGATTTATAATACACATATAACTATAATTTCATGCTAACTAAAAATAATAATATCAAAACCAAAGTAATACAGCAAAATAAATTGCGTAGGACATTGCATTAGAAATCGTCGCTCCATAATAATGATATGGTTAATATGATTATTCATTTTGGTTTAACTGATTTACAGGTGAAGTTTTAGTAACGTTGTGTTAGGTTCAATAAATATCAATGTAAGCTGAACTGAAGTTTATTTTAATAACCTCTCAACGACTAATTGATAAAACGTTATTTATTATACTAGAAAAAGAAAATCCTTTTTCGTAGGAGATACGAAAAAATGTTAATCCCATGTAAGACTGAATATCTTTTTTACAGCTGAGTGGAATTAAAGTTTATTGTTTAACAACCAGTTATTAAACGAGAAAATAAACTAAAAAAAGCAGCTATCAAAAAAAGTTAATAAAACGGCTTAAGGGGCTTTAGATACAAAGTTTTCTCAAATAGAAAGATGGCTGCTTGTCTAAGGTGCCTAAGAGATAACCCACCTACCTGTGAAATAACCAGAACCTTACGGCAGTGTTATCACAGAAAACAGAAGGTGGGGCAGGCACGCCACAGTTATGAGCAAATGCATACAACTTGATAATATAACATTTGACGACCTCTGTGGCCGAGTGATTTGTACGCCGGGTTTCATGGTGTCGCCTACTCGAGAGGTCCCGGATTCGAATCCCGGTGGGGGCAGATGTTTGTGTGATGAATACGAGCATTTGTACTCCAGTCATGTATGTTAAATATGTATTTATATATAAATATACTTATATATGTACTGTATATGTAATCTTATCCGTTACCCTAGTATCCCATAACACAAGCCTTTCAATTCTTACTTTGGGGCTAGGCTAATTGGTGTGAGTGTTGGAAATATTTATTATTATTATTTTATAATAACATAAGTTATGAGCATTTGCTCATAACTTGATCAAAACTTGCGCTCGCGTTGTTTAGTTGCTTGGGGACCCTTGCGGTGAGAGAGTATTGTGATAAACGCTTAACACATGCCTTCTCATGCTACCTCTATCTATGTTCTGTGGGTTTTATGTCAAAACACAACCAACCGAAGTTGTCAAGAACTTATGCCTGTTTCACACAAGGGCAGAACAGTGGGAAACAGAGGACAGTCAGTTCTCGTAGCGATTGAGCTACAACAACGACAACATTTACAACAGTTATTCAAAATTGCACTAAGTACAAATAAGTCTGTATGATCTAATTGAAATTGTAAAGAATGTAATGAATAGGAAATAAAAACCTTGGATCAGACCGTGGATAGCAAGCAGACCAGCGCTTGGTTGTTCAGTTCAAGTTTCAGAAAAAAAATAAGGGTGAAGATGCCGAGGAGTCACAGAAAGAGGTTAGAAGGGTGCTCATAGACACGGTCGCCGGCTCGCCCCCACTACACTTCCATCTAATAGATTATAGCCAATCAAACAACGCGACATCAAACAATCGAACCAATCAGCGCTCACAACCAAAAGCAACGACACAATCAGAACCAAGTTTTGGTCAAGTTATGAACATTTGCTTACACAAAACTGTGGCGTGCCTGCACCGCCACGAGGCCCTGCTAACCTCTTTCTGTGTTCTGTGCGTATGACAAAAAAAAAGTATAGAGCTTTGTTGCACACTGTCCTGCTCTTTGCACTGCCCTCGCGTTCACACAAGTCCAGCCACAAGACAAACGAGCCAGAAAGGTGGCGGCGTGACAAAACTGCCTCCAAAAATAGACGGGCGAGCTACTAACTGTTCTGCCTTTGTTACTGTCAAGACAGTACTGTTCTGTACTGTCCTGTGCGTTTAAACAGTAGCAGCTTAGTACTGTGCTGCCCAAAGTTCACATGAATCCAGCCACAAGACAGACGAGCCAGAAACGTGGTGGGGGGAGCAAACTGCCCCCAAAAATAGACAGGCGAGCTATTAACTGTTCTGCCTTTGTTGCTGCGAAGACAGTACTGTTCTGTACTGTCCTGTGCGTTGAAACAGTAGCAGTACTGTGCTGCCCAAAGTTCACATGAGCCCAGCCTCAAGACAGACGAGCCAGAAAGGTGGTTGGGGGAGTAAACTGCCCCCAAAAAATAGACCGGTGAGCAATTACCTGTTCTGCCTTTGTTACTGTGCTGTACTGTGCGTTCAAACAGTAGCGGTACTGTGCTGCCCACTGTTCTGACTTCGTGTGAAACATGCATTAGCGCCGATTTGGATGGTTACATGGATCTACGGATTGAGTTCATGCCAGATCTGTTCATTTAATATGTCTCTTCAAAACGAGGTCATTACATTTTTTGTATGACCCAAGCGGGAATCAAACTTCAGCAATTTCATTAATATCAGCCTATGAATGTGTACACTGCAGTTTTTGTTAAAGGTAATAACGTTTATCTACTAGCAGACCCGGGAGACATAGTCCTGACTTCTGACCAATGAAAATATAAAAAAAAAAACTAAAAGTAGACTATAGCGCTAGAATAGAATAGAAAAGACAAGTTAGAATTGTAAATCATATTTTCTTAAATATTTTTACCGAAAGAAACTTCTACAAAGTATGTATTATACATAATATAAAAAAAGATAGATGAAATCGATGTGACCAATGAAAATATGTGTTTTTTTATATAATTTCTTTCCTACTTATATCTTACATGTGTAAGTTTGATTAGGTAAGTAATATGCTTACCTAATCGAGCAAAAGCGACACATATACTTATAGTTTTCCTTTTATCCCGGAAAAATGTTGGGTTTTGTGGGTTTTTGAAAACTAACTACCTAAGTAATTATGCGGACGAAGTTAAGGACGGTAGCTAATAGCAGATAGTCTACAAAAAAAATATGTTTGGCATAAGGCATAGGGGAATGAGGGGAATGGAGCAACGCACGCATCACTCATATATACATATATATTGTAGCTTGTGACGCTCGTAGCGTTTAAGTCTTCGCCGAGTTACCCTCCAACTTTCATGCTCGTCAGGAAGAGCTGCGCTCGCATCCCACACACACACACACACACATAGTCGTGTGACACATTTCCGATTTTTCATTGGATCTTCTCCATTGAAAGAAGTTTCACTTCGAAAACTTACTTTATATTCCAACCAGTGTGAGTGAGGCAGGTCATGATGAATCAAAAGTCCGTCTAATGAACATTTAACTTCATCGCTATCACCAGAACATTCACTTTCATTTAACTTTCCGGAGAACTGATCACCATACACTTTATCAAATAAGGTTTCACTTAAAAAGCTTCCGAATTTGTTGTCACTGGAGCATTTCTTGATTCTACTACCCCCCATTTTATTAGAACTATCCTTATAAGATTCCGTAAAACAATTGACTAAATTTAATATGAAAGAAGCAAACAATATAGTCTTCATTATTAACTGGTTATGTTCAAAGATTCAATTAAGAAAAAAAAAGCAAATCAAAGTAGGTCATGTCACATGCCTCAGTTTACTAGAACATTTTGTAAATGTTATGTAAACAAAATGAATTGTTTTGCTGAATTAACAGTATTGAGCACGTCATTACAGATTGATGACTGAAAATGACACGGCGATTAAAAATGAGTTGTAAGCTTGTAAGTAACTAATTTTTGTTAGAATAAAATTACCCTAGACACCCATATTCAGAGACTGATATAACCGAAAATTGTATTACTATGCTCCTTTGATTTAATACTTTAGCGGCCGTAAAATTTTTCGACTTTTCATATAGTGCAAAACATTGTCAATAGGTTTTCAGGAGTTCCATGGCACAATAGGAGCTCGATGGCGCAAGTGGTTAGCGTGTCCGGCTGCGATCGTTGAAGCTAAGAAACTTTCCCTGTGGTCGGTCATTGGATGGTGACCAAAAATTTACTCCGTGCTTCGGAATGCACGTTAAGCAATTGGTCCCAGCTGCATCTGCGGTCGCTAGCACCCACTAATCCGCATTGGGCCCGCGTGGTGGATCGGGGCCCAAACGCCCTATTCCATCCATAGGCAAGGCCTGTGCCCCAGCATTGGGGACATTAATAGGCTAATGATGTGTGGCTGATTGTGCCATCATACAATAGTACAGTGAGCCAGCGTTGAAGTTAAGCAACTATCGCTATGGCTGGTTATGAGATGGGTGACCAAATGTTTTTTTAATTCGAGCTTTTCCGTGCCCAGGAAGAACGTTAACCCGGTAGTTTTGTCTGCAGTCGTTAGCACCCCTCATATACTATTACTACTATTTTATAAATGGTAGACCTGTGCTCTATCAGAAAGGACATTTATTTAAAGGATTATAATGAGAATTTATAATTGTCTACAAGAAGGCAAGAGGCGCGGTAATTCTCACACTCGCTTCTAAGCGAGTACCTAAACGTATTCATTTATTTGTGGGAATCCCTGAATATGTGTTCGGTTTTCAAACATAGACAATGTGTGGGTTGTTAAAGTGTCAAAAAATCACTATCTCGACCCCCACCCCCCATGTCCTCAAAAATAAGCAAAGCAAAGACCACCCTGCCCCCCTATAGTGCTTACGTAATACTTGAATGGTCCCTGTATTTGTAAGTATTGAAAATGCCTAAGTTTCTTGAAATGTTTTTACCCTTTTTTGTTTAATAAATTTCGTAACTTGTTCCTTTCTTTTCTTTCGTTGCGAAATAATAAAAAAAAATGCGGATATTTGTGTTGAATATAAGTACCTATTTATTTAGATGCAAAGTGAATCAAAAGCACTTTTATTGTACTAATAAATTACTAAAAGAATATCATCAAAATTAAAACAGTAAATTTATAAATTTCCTATTTATTCGTCGAAATTCGTGCTAATATCTAATACACAATGGCATCACATCATTTCATCTTAAATTACAATAATTATAATAGTAAACAAAAAAAGAATACTAAAATGGAACAACTGAAAATACTCGCCTAAAATAAAAACACAAGCTAGGAACAAATTAGCTAAAAACATTAAAATTATATACAAAATATATCACAAATGTGTGCTAACAAGCGATCAGAAAATATATTTGACACATTTTATATATATATAAAAAAGAGAAATTTGAAATCATTGGTTGTCAGAGTGACCTATATTGTAAATAATGTGATTGCTATATCTATGAATAAAAAAATAATCCCATTGTTAAAAATATATATTTAGAGATTTGATTTAGAAATAAATTAAAACAAAACATTTCACAAAAATCACAAGAACGCATCATCAAAACCTAACAAGGCTATGTCTACTACTTAAAAAAAAAATTAAATAAAATTAATTTATTCAATAAGCTAATCTAATACGTGTCATGATAATTATACATGTGATAAAAGTCTATGTCTATGGTGTCCAGCACCTAGAACAACATCACTTAGAAAAAATAAAAATAAAAATTGACAGAGACAAAATGAACCTATGCTTATGACTCTTGATTTAATCTCTGAAATTAATGAGACTACATCGAAATAGGTTTTTTTTCTAAGAAAATGCTCATTGGACAATAGTGTTTTCTACTCCGTAATTTAATAAAATACATCTCAGAAAAGCCTCAATCCTTCTTTAATTATGTCATGAATCATACACAAATATGGACTAGTCCACATGATCAGAGATAACAAAAAGTACATTAGCTCATCTCTGAATAAATTTATACACAAAACAGCAGATAATTTTTAATACAGACCTAACTAAAGCACGCGAACAAAACGTTCTGAAATCACTTTTAGAGTTTCCCTCAATAAATGCAACATAGATTATTTACAATGATAATAATAAAAATATTAAAAGTAAATTGTCTACTTAAAGCTAAAGTTTCATTAATTCTAAAAATAGTAATACTTGTTGTAAACTCTTCCTACTAACTAATACAAAATGTTATAAGTAGTTATTTGCTTTGACTATTAGCTTTGTTCGTGGTTTTGATAATATAAAAATTATCGCATGCAATAACCCCTATTAAGTGTTGCTAGTTGCGAACGTTTACTATGTTTAATTTTTTTTGGTTGATTCAAAACAGCTTTTAATAAGTTAATTTGAATATAGTTTAACTCGTGCCATTAAAGAAACGAATGGAAAATGATGACATAAAATAGTGACTCTCGCACGTTACTTAGGACTGCATATGCGAGAAGGACAGAATGTCTTAGGTCGTCATTTGCGATTCGTTTTTTTTATTGGCGCGAGTTTTATAATTTCATTTAATCCAATGTCGCCATATAAACCCTCAGATTGTAATAGATTTATCCTTTACAAATAAATCAACTGTATGATATAGGTAGAAGACTATTCATAGATTTTAATGTTAAATAAGAAATTTTATTTCCTATAGATTATAATGATTTATTTATGACTGGTAAATTTCATTTTTTATTTATTATTTCATAAGATATTTCTACGTTAAAATGAGAATAACTTCTTTTCCATTAAACAGCTATAGAGTTAATTAAATATTAGAAATGACAAATTCATTGCATATTAATCATTACATTATAAAATAAAATATCATTAAATGAGCAATAAATCTACAAAGTTTGGTGTCAATGATTATAATGGCATACGTGATTCCAAAACGTTTGTTCGATGCATGCACATATAAAGTATAAATAATATTGCTTGGCAGAAGTAAGCATTCAACTCTTTTACAAACAATTATTTGACAAGTTTCCAGCAAAACTCTGATGCTACTGAGCACCGGTATTAACATCCACATTTCCAACGTCAATATAATACATCAACGATTCGTCTATTCAACGACCCAAAAAGAATCAATTTATTGTAGATTCTTTTAAATTAAAAATCTATATATCTGTGACGCATCGCCAATTACAGATATTTTACATAAAAAAAACTTTTTTCATATATAAAAATATCTTTGGTGTTGCCTGCTTTAAATAATGTTTTAATGCTAGTCAAACTCAAGATGAGCATTATTAACGATCGTCACGACGATATTAAAATTTGAAAACAACTAAAAAAGCTAATAAATATACAATTGATAGTGTATCTTATTTCTATATGTACAAAGTTGATTCACAGCACGTGTAGAACTGGTATCATACGAACGCCATTTTCTTTTACTAAAATATATTTTGAATAACTCCAACAACACCTTTACCTTTGCTTTGTCTGAGATTATTAAATTTGCTTCATTAATAAAATAGACATTTTGTACATTATCACTAAGTCGATTTTAATTTATGATTCGAGATTTCTAAGAATACATTTATGTCTATGGATATACTTTTATCAAGTCATTTATCTTAAGATATTTTTCAAATAAATTAAGAATTTCTCCCTTTTTCTTTAAAAATCTGTATTCTTGTAGAAGGGCGACGGCGGGTCTCTTCATCGTTGCCTCTGGCTCGATGCCCCGTTGAGGCTTCTAAGTTCAGTGTAGGGCTTCCTAGACAGCAACTTCACGTCTTCACCTTTCCTATAGGGTACATGTCCCATTCGCTTTCTGTACACTAGAATCCTGTAAACAGATAATATTATAATTTAACAAAATTAAATTCCTACGGTTTTACTACAAAACAGTGGGACACGGTTTCAAACCTTGCCAAGGCTTTACTCGCGTTGAACGATGTCTTACTGTTTTGTGATAAGAAGGCTGTAGTCTGGGTGCAATTGTTTTCTACTTCATATTTTGATTTTTTACTAAAATAACAAATTCGACAATAACAATGTAAATGTATACATTGAACAAAAATTTGCTTAAAGAAAATTTTACTAGAAAAAAAATCTGCACGGAGCAGGCAGCAGACGAAAAAAAATCAGCAGTCAAATTCTAAAAATATAAAAATTGTTTAGTTTAGAATACAGAATATTTGCCCACAACAAAAAATAAGGAAAAGTACCACCCAAATCTAAAGCAAACAATGTACGATAATTATGTTTTTATTTATAAACTCGTTTAATGTTTTGCCATAAAATCAATATTATGTTAATTAAACTTTTTTTAGTTTGATATATTTTAGTATCTATAACTTGAAATGAAAATAAAAGTGCAATAACGTCTTAAAAATTCATATAAATAGTAGGTATTTAGTGCTAAAAGGATTACATATTTTTTTATTAAAACAGATTTCCTTAGAAATATTACTTTCCACGTTATCTTTATTAATGGAAATCACGGTTAATACTAGATTATCAGACATTCGTCGTAACTGCAATCAACAAGTAACATTTGCAGAGCACATGATTTCTGTTCACAGATAATAACAAGGTACATGGTTTATTGCCGTAATTATAGTTCTGTCAACATTATACGGGCTATGAGCTATGGTGTATATTTTCTCTGCATTTGAATAAAGTTTTTATTCTATTTTAAAAGAGAGGCATACAAGTATACTTATAGTAAACGGCCACCATTTTATTTATTTATACGCAGGCAAAAATACTGTTTACAGACGACGACGGCGCCTTTAAGAAGGCACACCGCCGAATGGACCTCTCACCTGGCTCCCGCAAGCCTTACAAGCCCCAGCAGTGGCTACCCACTGAGGACCCCGTAACTCTTACGGGCGCTTTACGGCATAATATACGCTATAAAACCCTGCGAATACCCTCTAAGCTGCTTAGCGCGAAGCCGCGGGATTCCCCTTTAGGGCCACCATGGCCTTAAGACGCTTGCGATACCAAAAATATCACTCGTGCTGTTGCCTACCTATCGTCAACGTTAGTCTAATTATGTCCCCACTACAGGGGCACAGGCCTTCCCTATAAGTGGAATAGGGAGATTGGGTCATGCGGGCCTAGCGGATTGGTGGAAGCTAACGACTGCAGATGCAGCCGGGACCAACGGCTTAACGTGCATTTCGAAGCACGGAGGAGCTCAAGATAGTATTACTTGATCACCCATCCAATGACCGACCACTGCCAAAGTTGTTTAACTTCAACGATCGCAGCCGAACGCGCTAACCACTTGCGCCATCAAGCTCTTCCCTACCTATACTCAATCTCTTTATAAAACCTTACTCACCGATAGAAAATTTGGATAAAAAACTCATGTTAAAACTAGCGGCCCGCCCTCGCTTCGTTTCGGTGTAGAGCTGAAGTGTAGACTAGTTTTTGTTCTCAGGCTTGTATTATACACAATGACATTCATCTATGATTCTTCTTATACCTGCATGCAAAATCTCAGCCTGATCGGTTTAAAATTGACAAAGTTTCATACAACCTTGCATTCCCTAATTTATCCCCTTGGGGGTAGAATTGATCAAAATCCTTTCTTAGCGGATGCCTACGTCATAACATCTACCTGCATGCCAAATTTCAGCCCGATCCGTCCAGTGGTTTGGGCTGTGCGTTTATAGATATAGCGCTCGAGAACAAGAACTACTTACATATAATTCCAAATCGAAACGCAACGCGGAATAATCAGTATCTATATACATATATAAAACTCAAAGGTGACTGACTGACTGACATAGAGATCTATCAACGCACAGCCCAAACCACTGGACGGATCGGGCTGAAATTTGGCATGCAGGTAGATGTTATGACGTAGGCATCCGCTAAGAAAGGATTTTGATCAATTCTACCCCCAAGGGGATAAAATAGAGAATGAAAGTTTGTATGAAACTTTGTCAATTTTAAACCGATCGGGCTCAGACTTTGCATGCAGGTATAAGAAGAATCATAGATGAATGTCATTGTGTATAATACAAGCCTGAGAACAAAAACTGTAGTCTACTCTTCAGCTCTACACCGAAGCGAAGCGAGGGCCGGCCGCTAGTTTTAACATTAAAAGATATAAAAATCTAGCAGTTAAATGCATACACATTAAAAAACAATATGAATCAACATAACAATATCTTTAGCTCGCTCGTTGATTCTATATTGAAAAAACATAATTAAAAAAAATAGATAGGTACACAATAAGATACAATCAGTGAATAAAAATAAATAAACAAAAGCTCTGCATAATGACCTGGTCACTTCAATAGCAAAGCGGTGATTAATTGCGTAAAAACACTATAAGTGACGTCACACCGGACGTTGAATTGTGTTTTACAGGATGTTACAAAATGTGTTTTTTGTAACATAAAATATGTACATGTAAAAACTTAATTATTCATTTATCTATCGTCGCATCAACTGAAACATTTAATTGATTTGGCATCATTGAACTTAAATTAGAAAAGTTATTAAATAATATCTACATTTGTATTGGAGTCTTTCAAAACGTCAAAAAATATCTGAAAATTCTATTATACGCGTTTTGTTCTTTTTTTTTTATTTTATTTTATCTTTATTTGAGAAACAAACAATGAGTTAATACTTATACCTAGATCTAATTAACAAAACATACATCAAAAAAGTTACCATTATAATATAAAACATATAAAGGAGTTCAGATAGTTAAAATTGAGAAAGAAATAAAAAACGTTAATAATTTTACCAATAAAAAAAAGTTTCAAGTTTTGTAGGTTACAATTAATAGTAACCTACAAAACTTGAAACTTTTTTTTTCATATCGTGCATATAATATTTTTTCCAATGATTGAGTGAACAGTTAAATGTATCGATTGAGGTGAACCTATTGTTATAATCAGTACAAGACCTTATCACAAAAGTATTAGCAGTATAGTTGGTGCTAATTATAGGCAAACTAAATAAACTTTTTAGACGGGAGCCTGCCCGAGGGCATCTTCATGTTAAAAGTGTTTCTTAATGAAGCTGAAATTTAAGAAACAAAAAAGTGTTCTTTTTACTATCTACCCTTTTTCCCTTTATCTACTTTAAATAGAAGATCATTGATGTTAAGTTTCAAAGGATATCAAAGAAGTCAATAAAATAAAAATAATAAAAAAAACTTAGATTAAAACAAAAAGGGAAGATACGGTACGCTCTTACTAGCTTCAAATAAAGTCGCTTGGCAACCGACTGCGTTTTATTTTCTCTCTCTACAAACGACTGAGCTGTATTGCTGTCCTTTTCTTGTTAACAAATGGCGAATATAAGCAAATAACATTTAAGGCAAACCGTGATGTTAGAGAAAAAAAAAAGTTTTTATACTTTTATGAATGAAAAGTGTTGCCGTGGAATTTTTTATTTGATTTTGAACTATTTTTAATAAGTTTCATTTCATTTGTGTTCTTTCTAAAAGCATCGAAGGCATTGTTTTATCTCTTTACCACATGATATTCGCAATGTGTTTTGCACCACATGCAGTATGTTTGGATGTCAAATTGTGACTAAAGCGAATTGTGTTTGTGCACTTAATTTAAGCGGTACACATCCATATACGATATTTTTTCAAAGCAATTCACGACATATACATTACAGTTCAATTATCAAAATAAATGCAGGTGTATTATTTTAAAAAAACGAAGAACAAAGGTGAAATTATTCTGACATTTAAAACTCTATGTTAACTAGATTAGCCTCGAGCCAATTTGCAACAGCCTGTATCTGCGCGAAGGTAAGTTAATTGAATCACATAACGTGCGCGTACGCAATAATATCTACGGAACGTTCTCTCAGTCGTTTGGCGACGGACCACCAGGGTGTACGTGTCAACAGGATCTACAAGGACTCTGATATCAATTGTTTATCATTAATTTCGAACTTGGAAGCGCGTGAGTAAACAGCCAATTAAAATAATACAGTGTAAAGAATCCGACAAATGTTTTTAAAGTGTGTGTTGAATAGAAGGATTTTTTTAAATCACACTAATATTATAATGGCGAAAGTTGTGAGTGTGTGTGTTTGTTATTTCTTTACGTCTAAGCGGCTGGAGCGATTTCAATAAAATTTGGTAAGGAGTTAGCTGACATTCTGGATTAACAGAAAGGCTACGTTTTTCTGCGGGAAAATATCCTTAATAAACCGTGTGTAACACCGCGGGGCTAGCTAGTTGAGGAATAAATATAAGTTCATGTTTTGTCTGTCACGCTTTTACGCCCAAATCTTTGAACAGATTTTGGTGAAATTTGGTATAAATAGAGATAAAAGGAATATTAGAGAAATATATGAACTATTTTTTGCCGCACTAGTGGATTAGTTTTCGGTTATTCGACGGAGCTGGCCATTAAATTGGTGATCATATTGTTTACTAAGGGAGCAAAGAACTATTTGAAAGTCGAGCGCGTTTTTTGAATCCAGACCGGAGAGAAATGCTCGGGTTTAAACCCTGAACCCAAAGGGTTTTAAAGAACGTCGCTCGAGCTATAAAATATTGTGACTCCCGAGGTGGACACTCTATTTTAAATGACACTCTATTTTAAATCACCCTCTATGAGAAAATATATAAATGCTGCTACGAATATGTACGAAAAGTACGTTTATTTATTTACATGCACGAACAATAAGACAATTTTGGAAATGGGCCCTGTTTTTGGCCTTTATCTTTAAAAAAAGATTTCATCTTTCTTGCCTTTTCCAAAGGATGAAATTTTCATATGCTTTTAAATAATGTTCGAGGGATTTTGTAGAGCAGTAGATGCGAGGAAGATACTCATCTTTTAATAC